CCTGAGATAATGCGGCCTGTTCATTCATCAGCTCATTTAAAGCCACATTCTGGGCAGCTGTTGGCTCCTAGCACTTCATGGGTTAAATGCTCCTTTTAGCTGGGGAGGGAATAAGTACAAGTACTGTATTTTGCGCTCCATAAGGCGCACTTTTTTTCCCCCCAAAAGGAGGGGGAAAATGTGCCTGCGTCTTATGGAGCGAATACCTATCGCCCGACGCCCGGGACATGCAGTTTCGGGCGCGCCGGGCGAGTAGTTTTTTTGTACGTTCAGCCCTCCTCCTGACGAGCAGAGCTGAATGCACGGTAGGAGCCGCTGCTCGTCTAATACAAGTGATCTCATTAGATCACTTGTATTAAATCGAGCGCCGGCGACCATGTCGGCCCCCCCGCCGTGGTTTTCGGGGACCCCCTGCTCCTCTGGGGGACCATGACCACTGTCCCCCCATAGGAGCTAACCATAGAGCCCCTTGAGCAGACGGAGAAAGTCGTTCTTCGTCTGCTCTGTGTGATTACCGAGACAGCGCCTCCTGTGTCAGCGGTCACTAACTGCAGCTTCCGTCACAGAATTTCTGTGACCGAAGCCCTGCGTCCTATCGTCCGGAAACGCCTTTATAGAGCGTGAAATACGCTACCTTATTCCGTGCTTCCCCAGCAGCAATGCCCTGGAGTTGTCGGCGGGCCTTCGCCTACAATGCGGGACTGCTGGTCCTGCATTGTTGGTGATGACGTTGGAGATCTGCGACCAGCTGGGCAGCGAAGTGAGGTAGCTTTGGGGATCTATTATATGGTATAATGGCGCCCTGAGTGGGGCTTTAATGGATAGTTTTGCCTCTGATACGGTAGACACCATAATTACCTCAGACATTGAACACCCACTTATCTCTCGAGTTATAAATATGACCGATTGCTGATTTCACGGGCTTCTCCCTCCTTTTTAGGCTACTACTATGACCTGGATGACTCGTACGATGAAAGCGATGAGGAGGAAGTCCGAGCACACCTCCGGCGAGTGGCTCAGCAGCCACCGCTCAAGCTGGACACGTCCTCTGAGGTATGCGGGGGCGGGGGGTTGCATTGCGGAGCGCACCCTGTGCACTAGTAATCCTCCCTTGTTGGGATGAATGATGCACAAACACTTGTATGAAACTATCACGGGTTGAGCTTACCCCCCTCGCTGTATTTCTGGTGACCCTTGCATGCCCAGTAACAGCTGGGTGCAGTACAGTCCGCATGAACGGAGGATTCTGATTGGATCAGCCTATAACTGTCTCTTTAATTTTGTTTCCATGTGACAGAAGTTGGAGTTCCTCCAGATATTCGGCCTCACGACCCAACAAGACAAGGAGCGCCTCCTGCAGCAGAAGCGGAGGAAGCGAAGGCGGATGTTGCGCGAAAGGAGTCAATCTCCTCCCACCGTACAAATCAAGCGCCAGACGCCGTCTCCACATTCTCCTCTCTCCACCAGATTCAGCCCGGACGAGCTCAACAACAGCCCCAACCTGGAGGAGAAGAAGAAATTTCTCACGTTCTTCGACCTGTCGCACGTCAGCGCGGAGAGGAGGAGAGGTGAGGCTGGGCCCCAGTGGTAGCACATGTTCTATGGGGGATGTAAGAACACTGGTGGGCAACTAGTTAGATCCAGGGGTGTGGACAAATCTAGGAGCCGGGTCAGCCCACTCTAGGAGCCGGGTCGGCCCACTCTAGGAGCCGGGTCGGCCCACTCTAGGAGCCGGTAGGAAGTGCGGTGGGTCCCTGAGTGCGCCCAGGGACATGCCAGTAAGGAGTGCGGTGGGATTCTCCTGTAAGCTGTCATTATTAAGGCGCATTGGTGACCTGGCTATAATCTAACTCGGGGTTGGAGCCAGATCTTGTCTGTGGCTCCAGCACCTCCCAACGTGCAGAGGGCTCGGGATTTGGAGGTGCCACCCCCCTAGAATATAATGGCTTGCGGTTTTCCTAACAGAGAAGTACGGTGTCCAGTGTAATCTTCAGCCGATTTGGGTTTTCTTCGGAGACGAGACAACTCCTAATGCAGATCTAGTGCACCAGTAATACTGGGGATCCTCACTGGTACTGCATTCCTCTCCCTTTCCTGTGCCATGTATGCCAGCAGTAATGCCATTCTGGGCTACGGCAGAGAAGAATATCGATTCCATTTCCAACTCATGGCCTTAAAGCGTATCAGAACCCAAGAACAGCAAATGGACCTATATTGCAGCTTAGATGTGGGGACCGCATTAGTTTTCTCATTTTCAGGCTTTTCTCCTTTTTGCCATTTTTGTAATTTTGAACTCTTCTGGAAATTTTCGGCTTTTTCGGCTTTTAACACATTTATCTTCATTGCGGCAGACAAGGAAAAACTGGTGGAGATGCTTCAAGCCATTAAGCAGAAGAAAGCAGTTCCCGAGACTGTAAAGAACCAACCGCCGGCCCAGACTCGGACCAGTCCACCTCCACCACCACCGCCTCCTCCTCGTCCCTCCTCAGGTGAGACATGTGACCGCCTTGTCACTGCGACGTATGACCCTCCGCGTTAGATTGTGATCTATGAATACAAATAATTTCAATGTACTTCCCTACCATTGCTCAGTAGATGAGAAACTGCTAAATTTGCTCAAATCCTTGCAGTATAAATAGCTGGACAAGCAGAGGGAGGGGTTTTGTCGCGCTTCATAAAGCCGTGAGTGAACACCGGTATGTGTTCCCTCACCTCCCGATCTACTGAGCCGACCTGTGACAGTCTCATTGTCACAGGTCGGCTAGAACTATGAGGTGAGTGAAAAGCCCCTCCCCCCCTCATAGTTCTCCTTTTAAAGAGAAAAGCGTTACTGTATTTTTGTTATAATCACCTTTTTTTTTAAGTGACCCTCACATGCTTCATGTGCTACATTTTTATGATTCCATTTCATATCTGCCCTCTAGTGGCTGTGTGTGTACCAGGCAGTGCAGCTTGAGGAGTCAGACGGGCTTGCATTGAGGGGAGGAATATTGAAGCGCAATCCCTGTGCAGCGCCATTGAGCAGGAACCAAAGTTTCACAAAACTATAAAAAAGACTAAAGATGACCGATTGGCGCTTGCGCCTTTTTGTCTCCTTAATGCCGGCTGCACGCATACATGTGGCATTGCAGCAGCGGGCTTTAAAGGAGAACTATGGGGGTCAGTGTTTTCCCCATAGGTCTCCTAAGGGTCACGGGAGGACACAAACTAGCGTCCTCCCGTGACCCCAAAGCTCAGTATATAGCGGTATACTGAGACCACCGCAGCCGGGACGGATCTCTGAGATTACTGTCGAGATCCACCCAACTGCGTGATTGACAGCTGGCACTGCCTATCTAGAGGCAGAGCCAGCTGTACCCTCCCCCGTCCGTTCCGCCAGTCGGCGCTGGAGGATCGGAGCGGGGAATGTCTGCAGGGAGCGGTGAGTGACAGTCACGGCTGTCTGCAGGGACAGGATCGAGAAGTGAGCGAGCGACGGTATGCGTTCCCTCACTTCCCGATCTATTGATCCGACGTGTGACAGTTTCATTGTCACACGTCGGCTCCAACTATGAGGCTTTTCACTCGCCTCATAGTTCTCCTTTTAATGCCGTAGTGCCACATATGTGCGTACATTCGGCAACGCTGTTGTGCCGGGATCACGCAGCACAGTGACCCCCCTCCCAGTCACTTGGCAACAATAGGGAGCCAGTAGGATGGGCTTTAGGTCATTGGAACAGTCAAAAGATGTCCTTAAAGGGCTGACCCCCCCCCCCCATATTTGACTCGCCCACCAAAGGAAAACTATTGTGTACTTCTGAAATAAGACGTGGTTGCTTTATCTTTTTAGGTCCGGCCCCCGAGGACCAGCTGCCTGCTCCGCCCCCTATCCACCCTGACCCACCAGCTCCCATCGCCTCTACTTCTTGCACTGTATCAATCCCGGAACCCGTGAAGCCTGTGGAACCCCTTCGTCTGGATAAGCCCAGACACGTGGATTCTGCCAGGGTCCCTCCCCTGCCGCTTCCAGTCCAACCGCCAGTGACCAACGCACCGATCCCCGACAAAAAAAGGCAGGTCGAGGGCCCGCCTGCCAAAAAGAGCTTGAGCATTCTGAACTTTGTGCGAGGGCACCCGCCCAAGGAGAACCCAGTGCAGCCTTCCCAGAGCATGAACGGGAGGAACAAGTCGTGGGAGCCCTTCCTGGCGGAGGAGTTTGCCCACCAATTTCACGAATCTGTCTTACAGTCCACACAGAAGGCCCTGCAGAAGCACAAAGGTAAGGCTTGTGGCCGTGACTCAAAGCTTGTGTGGGTCCCCAACGCCATAGAAACTTGTCTCATCCCTATTGAAGACCAAAAACTTTATTAAGACACACAAACCTACATTACAGCTTGTAATCTCGTGGGAGATTAACGGGACCTTTTAACTTTACAAGGCTACATAAATTATTTCCTGAAGCTCCACCCATTATTAAAAACCCGTCCTTGAGCTCCAGTCAGTGGCTTTGCCTAGGCTGAGATATCAGTCTGCTGCATGCAGGAGGAAGCATTTCCTCAGTCTCCCCTCCCCCGGTGATCAGTCTGCTGCATGCAGGAGGAAGCATTTCCTCAGTCTCCCCTCCCCCCTGTGATCAGTCTGCTGCATGCAGGAGAAAGCATCTCCTCAGTCTCCCCTCCAGTGATCAGTCTGCTGCATGCAGGAGGAAGCATTTCCTCAGTCTCCACCCCAGTAATCAGTCTGCTGCATGCAGGAGGAAGCATTTCCTCAGTCTCCCCTCCCCCCTGTGATCAGTCTGCTGCATGCAGGAGGAAGCATTTCCTCAGTCTCCCCTCAGTGATCAGTCTGCAACATTGTAACTTTGTAGCAAGTCATAAGAACAAGGACATTGCAGAATTGAAAATAAGATCACGTCTGATCAGGTGCAGGGACCCCATTACTACACTTTGACAATCAGCCCACGGTAGATCTTTGCCTAGGCTGGTGGTCTTCCTGTATTGAAAGCAGTCACGTGACCTGCGCGTTTTGTCCCACAGGAGCATCCGGCTTGCACAGCGCTGAGCAAAACCACAAACCAGACGCCTCTGTTCACTATAACATTCCCGAGCTGCAGAAATCGAGCAGAGCCCCGGCGCAACAACAACAACCGAACGGGCAGCCTGGACCTGCTCAGCCAGGGCCGGGCCCGGGACAACGGAAGCAAGAAGTCGCCTCTGGGGAGGAGACATCGGAAGAAGAAGAGGAGGAGGATGATGATGAAGAGGAGGATGACTATGAACCACCGAGACCTAAATGGCAGGGGATAGAGGCAATATTGGAAGCGTATCAGGAACATTTAGAAGGTGGGTACACTGCGTATGCAATATGTACTGTGTGCATGGTGCTGGTACATGCTGTGGGATAGAACGCCGATACCCAAAACTGAGCCTCTGCTTGACCTACATTAGTCTGCCCTTTATAAGCCCGATGTCCAACTAGATCATACAGGTGTTCATGTCCACAAACTTTGCCCATAAAGTGTAGCTCTCTACGGGCAAAAGTTCATCGAACCTATGTGATCTTATTGGTCATCCCATTCCAAAACCAACTGTGGCCATTAATATGGAGTTGCCCCCTCCCCTCCATGGCCATTAATATGGAGTTGCCCCCTCCCCCCATGGCCATTAATATAGAGTTGCCCTTCTTTATGGCTATACCATCCTCCACTCTTCTGGGAAGGCTTCCACAAGATGTTGGAGTGTGTCTGGGGGAATTTGTCCCATTTGTGAGGTCAGGTCCTGATGTTGGATGAGAAGATCCGGCTCACCATCAGCGTTCCAATCACCCCAAAGGTGGTCAGTAGGGTTGAGGTCGGGGCTCTGTGCAGGACACTCGAGTTCCTCCACCATACTGGTCACACCATGTCTGTATGGAGGTGGCTTTGTACACCGGGGACAGTCATGGTGGCACAGAAAAGGGTCTTCACCAAACGGCGAAGAGTGGGGTTAGGATAACGGGGTAAGGTTGAGGTTTGGTGGTTGGCTCAGGTAAAGCTTATTCCTTTTTTTGTGTTCAGTACAATGGAGAAGAATTACTACATTTGCCGGGGTTGGCAACCTCGTCACTCCATGATGGGGTTTGTTGTCTCACCACAGCTGGAGTGCCGAGGTTGGCTTTCCCCTGCAGTAGGACAGCAGTTGTCACCAGAACAGGATGCCACAGATGGCAACAAGTACATTGTCAGAGGTTATAATCCTTTCACACACCTACTGCACATGTGTGTCCTCATCCAGAACTGTTGGCCTTTTGAGAGTTTAGGATCGGCCGGAGCTGAAGATTTGGGTCTAGCGTGACTTTATGGGAAACTTCTTTACTTAGCATGAGGTTTTCAGGTGTAATCATTCTGGTGATGACCGATTCATTGCACTGTTCCACAAACCCCCCTCCCCCCCCCAACACTCTGCCTCTCCTGCTGTACAGTCCTCAGATTTCGGCATACCTTTCATGGTCCGCTTCCTTCCCGTAATATTCTTTCCTCTCGGTTTTTGCCCACAGAACAAAACATGGAGCGCCAGGTTCTGGAGACGCAGTGCAAGCGGCTAGAAGCTCACCACTATAAGCTGAGTCTGACGGCGGAACAGCTGTCGCATCGTATGGCGGTAAGTGATCGCGACGGGAAAGCGAACGCACGCAATGCTTTTACGGTCGCAGCTTCCAATGTCAGGGCGATGCTCCACAATGGAAATATTCTACAACTCCAATGTGCACACAATTTGTGAAATGAAGGTCAGACATCATCTGTTCGGTTTGACTCTAATGCAATGTCCCCCCTCTTCCTTCTGTGCAGGACCTGATGAGCCAGAAGCAGAGAGTCGCCTCCGAGAGGGACCGGCTACAAGCTGAACTCGAACACTTTAGGAAGTGCCTTGTTTTGCCCTCCTCGTCATGGTCTAGGGGTTACTTCAAAGGCCACCCCAGGTGACACCGTCTCCCTTGCACTAGCCCTGGACGTACAGTATAGAAATTTATCTCTATTTTATTATCTTGATATTTAATATTTTTCACCGGGAGGACTGAAATGGGGGGGGAGGAGAAAAAGAAAATCACACTTTGTTTTGTCTGCATCACCATGGGAAAAAAAAAAAATGTAAAAAAAAATAATTATATATATGAATGTGCCATGCATGACTCAAAGGATTCTGGGAGTTTGGCAAAAGCGAAACAAACCTCACTTATGACAAAGCTGCGGGCAATCCCTCCCCCCCCTCGACTGGCTGGTGGCACCCGCACCCCCCCTGATCCCAGGATTTACTATTCACAGACTGGCTGCATATGACACTACAAGCTTCTACTCCTGCGGAGCGTACCATTTGCAGGCGGGGGGGTGCCTTCCTTCACCCTCCGACTTATCATTACCATTTGTGCTATTGTACGACGCTGCCGCCAGCAGGATTTATTTATCACTTGTTAATTGCCGACCTTCCAGGGGCCACCAAAATGTCTATTATATATTTTTTTTTGTTTTCCTTGCCAGGAGATGGA